AAGCCTGAGAATTATTATGAATTTGTAAACCAAAAGGCACCAGGTCTTGTTAAAGGAGGCACCAACAGGAAGCCATTCTCGACTTCCTTTATAGTCATGTTGTAGACGAGAAGATAAATCCAACAGATGACCTCATCTCAGGAAAGAAGAATATTCTAATTAGTACTGCCAACAATCATTTTCTAAGGTGGAGGCGAAAGGTTGACAGCTTGAGTCGAGTGAAACTGACACATTATTGTGCGTTGAGGAGACCACGTGATCATACCGAAAATTAGTCATCATCGAGTCCATCCAAGAAACCAAGACTTTTGAAAGCCCCAGGTCTCAGGGCCCCTGAAGATCCTGGATCTGTAAACGATGGTTGAACGGCTTAGAGCTGTGTCAGAACATCGATTAACATCCTTCAAAAATAGCTTTCTTATTCTCCTAAACTGAACAGCAAAACTGGTTGTAACGTGTGTGAAATAAAAATTCTAATGAATGATGTTGTTGAATAATAAGTGGTTTAAGGTGATAATTAGTGAACGTTGAAGTGTCCGTCGATAAAATGCGGAGACACCATAATGCTATTGAATTTGATATGTCATTGTCCTCCTACAAGCTTTCTCAGTCAAGTAGGGCTGGATTGCATTTGCACCCTCGACTGGGTCTCATCAGCGTCCCCAACGCCAGTTTAAACAGCGTTGTAAGCGTTAAATGGATCATAGTGCACAATTCAGACTTGAAGTATTCGCCATCACCGTCGACAGCCTTACTTGTATTCCCCACGAGTAGCTACTACACTCTCAGTATACCTTGTACCTTTTCGACATTCACGTAGTGAACAGCTTCAGATGCAATGTTATCTTTTTTTTCTAGTCTTGGATAACTTTTTACAGCAAGATTGATTTGCAGAATGTAGACGCACAGAACATATGATTTCCATTTTAGTACGCAATTTCACAATGCAAAAGGAATGACGACCAGCTATCAAGAGGTTGATGTGCAAGTGTGTTGTTAAAAAGATTAAATTTAACGTCAGTTAGTGTTAACTAGCTTCTGATGCTGTCGTGAGTGTAGCGGGAATGATTACGTAAGTCGGCATTGTCTCCGGGATCGAGTCATCAGTGGGGTAATTCGTAAGGGTTGCCGGAGTATGAATCTGTGTTAACGATGACCTATTCCGTATTAGAGGGCAGAAATTCAAACCTAGTCACGTGTGATGATTGAATAAGATACAATTTTATGGTGGTATCAGCACCCCCAACGCCAGTAGAAAGCGCGTTGTAAGTGTTAAGTGGGCCACAATGCACAATTCACACTTGTGTGCAATTCACACAATTCATTCGCCATCACAGTCAACAGCTTTACTTGCCTTCTCTATGAGTAGATGTTAGACTCGCTCAGTTGCTCTTGAGTAAACCGTGAAAAGCAGCTGAGTTTCAAAGACTGCATTAATAGAATGTGAATTGGTGTAACTTCCGGATATTGAAAAATGACGTTCTATTTAGTAGGAAAAGTTGGTTAGAAGGAATTTGTGATGTGGTCTCCTCGAAAACCGAAAGAGGGTTGTCGCGTAGGGAGGACAGTTATATTGTGCGAAAAAGTGCTCGGATCGCCATCGGGTCGCAGGATGTGCAGGGGTGTATGCACACTATTATATTCTTTAGGATTTAGTTATTGCAGAATGTATTCACCCTATTTAGTTGAAGTTGATTGATTGACGGTAGGTGAATTAGTCCCACAATGCTCTGAATAGGCCTTAGGTTTACATTGAATTTCTCTTAGCTTTGCTTTCCATCCAGGCAGGAGTGGACTGAAATTTCTACCTTGCCTTCTTTTTAACCAATATGACTTTCTTAATAGACAGTCATGATACAATATATCACAAAGGAATTCTTCGAAACCCAGTTTTTCTTCATGGTTGAATAAAAGGACTTCTGAAATTGGCCTATCCGGAAGCTGGGTAAAGAGTGCCTTGAAGTTGTGATTGTAGATTTGGTCGGAATGAAGGCTTTCGCGACTAGCAAGAATTGCATACGCACAATAAGCGTATAATAAATGGCAATTACATACGTCTACATTGTAAGATCAAAAATTCAATTTATTTCTGTCACCTTGTGGCCGTTCTGTCCCAAATGAATTTCATAAGTAATAGGGCATTTCATACATTAAGAATGAAACCTAAGCGTTCGAAACTGGATTCCATCTTAAATGAGAAAGCTTTTTGCTATTAATGTTAAGTGAAATTTATTTGCATACTAAGACCTACTCGTATAATTTTGGGAAAACTCAGCTCGTAATCTTTACAGCCCTTTAATAGACCTAGGGTCACCAAGTTCTTATTCCAGAAGTACTGATAGCCCCAAAAGCAATTATAATGAAAATGATTATTTGTCGCCGATTATGGACATCATAGCAGGTGAGCGTTCTTTTAACGAATCCATGCTAATGTCAATTCGAAAGATCAAACTCCAAAAAAATGAATTTTAACATTCATATGGTAATTAAATCAACTAGCTGGATAGAAGATTTGTATTCAGCTTATTTCGTTCAAGGTTCTGAAGGACTGGTAGTTTAATTTTTACAAAATCATATAAGAATATCTTATGGGAACAAATGCTATAAAAAATTCCATGAAGTGGGAAGCTTAACCACATCATTAGGGCAAAATTTAGTTACCAGTCCCTCATCACCTTATTTGAAATAGTGTGAATACGGCTCTAATATCAAATATGCTGGTAGTCTCTGAAACCTACCTTAGAAGGAACCTTTAGTAGACTGATGGTCATTTAAAAAGGCGGATAGAAAGGATTCGTAACTTAGCGTCAACAGATACCAAAGGAGGATTGTCTTGGACTTGTGACTGTTATTTTTTGTATGTAAGTAGAGTTTCGAGACTACTAGTTAGATTATGGGAAAAATACCTCGGCTTACCGTCCTGCGGCCTCTATCCATTGGGGTTGAGCTTTCGTCCATCAGAGCCAGGAACCATCATTTACAGGCCATCACCTAAAGTATAAAATACGAAAAGGTTGGTTTAATGTTTTTGGGTGATTGTAAATTATGGTTCCTGGTTCTGACGATGTGTGTCACTTGATGGATGAAAACTTAACTCGGATGGATCGTGGAAAAAGAACGGCAAAGGGAGGCCTCATTTGCACAATCCAACAGTCACAAGTTCAAGGCAATCTTCCTTCGGTTTCCGGTTAGGCCAAGTTACGAGTCCATACCACCCGCCCTTTCAAACGAAATGAAAGGTATGTAAAAATCAGACTAATTTGATGTCTTTTAGGGTGGGCACACATGAACAAACGCTTTACTGAGGCCTCCGAGTAATTAAAATGAAGCATAAAAACTGTTCTATTCTTTAGGATTTAGCTATTGCGGAATGTATTCACCCTATTTAGCTTAAGGCAGTGATTCCCAAACTGTGTGCCACGAAATATTGTAAAAGCTTCAATTTGAGAAAATATGCAGTGATTTACAGGCTCATCCATCACAATAATTATTAAATATTAATTAAATGTTAATAAAGTAAAAGAATTATGAAGACACACGAGTTTTATTGATTTATATCTCTTACTTAGAAATAGTCATACTTAGGATAGGGTGCCATGGAAAAATTTTAATTGAAAAAGGGCGCCGCGACTAGGACAAGTTTGGGAACCACTGGTTTAAGATAATGAATAGCTGGAAGGTGAATTTTTCCCACAATGATCTGAATAGACCTCAAGTTTTCATTGAATTGCTCTTAGCCTTGCTTTCCATCCAGGCTGGAGTGTACTGCAATTTCTAAATTGCCGGAACTCGTCTCATCAGCATCTCAAGCGGATAATGCAGCTATAAGTACTACTACTACTACTACTATTAGATTTCATATAAGAGCTGTGAGGACTATTCATATAATTGTGGGAAGATTCAGCTAACCATCTTTCCTCAAATTAACCAAATAGAGTGAATACATTTCACATATATGATATACTGGTAGTCCAGAAAACCTACTTATAAATGAAAAATTTAGTTATTTGCTTGCACATGGAAACAACCACAACATTCTAATGTGTGACGTATGTTTTTTCCATACTGCCGTCCCAACTGAAAGAGTATTTGCTTTACGCACGCAACGTGTATCAATACACAACTACAGGACTCTACCGATAGTCCAGATTTGATCATGCGGAGCCGTCGCTTGAGTTTGAATAGGACAAGATAATGCGCCAACTCCTACTCGTCTTCACTTAAACGCCTCTTTATGCAGATTTGCCATAGATTTGAACTAGGGCTGCCTGAGCTCAAACCCAATACCAGAGTTGGATCGTAACCTGGTAGCGTTTACAAGGAGATATTGATGACATTATGTTGCATTCTTTGCCATTATGATTGTATGTTGTTCCAACAATCAATGTGTCGAGGCATGTCTCTGCGGAAACTGATCTTGTATTTCCTCATAGTTTTTGAGACATTCCCACTGTTTAATAGTCAGAGGGAAAATGTGTTTTCGGAAATGTACACCGTCAACGGTCGGATGACCGCTCTAATTGGGCCTTTTGTTTCCTAGGAACAGTTTTTTAGATGAGAACATGTGGGAAAAGAAGAACTAGAAGGGAGAATTCAGCATCAGCTGATTGGATTTGCCTATAGTTATGACGAAAGATGTCAATAGCATACATGTTCAGCTCATGTTCATGTTCATGTTTCACAACCCCAGCTCTCCTTCCTATTCTGCCATTTACAATTAATAGTAGGAATGCACAACTGTATAAAATATCTGGCAAATAGATCTAATGTCAATGGAGTCAGTTGTAACCTCTTTTTGAGAACTTTGTCATGTTGCTTAGAAGGCTTTATGTAATACACCTTGTATTGTATTATCTGACATTCTTTTCATGAACTAGTAAATGGGTTTATTTGCCGAAGCCAATTCCAGCAAGGCACCCATTCTAATCGCCGTAGCTCTTAGCAGGTGATAAGGTGAAACATCCCATTGTAGGCATCTGATATGAAGGTTTTTCCATTCTATGGCACAGATGTCTTCCGAAACGCTAAGAGACGCTAAGAGACGCAAAGGTACGTCTTGGCAGAAGCGTACGCGAATTGACCATCTTGTCCTCGAAATCGACCCTGCCGGGAACATAAGCCCAACCCTCCGGCTCCCTTGGCCTACACGTTATCACTTACACCACATGGTCTCTCGGCTTGGTACCCTCTTCACAAGAACACTCCCATCCTCAGCCCGGCCTACATGGTGTTGGCACCTCAGTCGCCAGAAACGAGTGCACACTTCCGATTCGCCCAACCATCAAATCCCGGTCTTCCACAGTGCCAACAGCACCACGTAACCTTTATTCATACAACCTTAGAGGACGAAGAATAGGGTAATCGTTTAGAGTGTGCTGATACCTGGGGTTGTATACTGGCGTGTGGTAAATGAGTGTATACATGTTTTGATGTGAGCGCTACTAGCTGAGAAAACAAAGTTCTCGCTACAACAATTATATGGGCCTATTCTGTTTAGGGCTGGCTGTCATGCAACCAAACCAATGGTATAAGATAAATTGAGAAAAAGAAAGAAGTCAGAACAGGTGATTTGCTGCCTTCCAGGCAAATAATATCACACGACTTGGAGAAATTTGTGCATGCTTTTAGTAGGTTGAGTGGGATTTCACAGCACA